TCTTCTTCTTCTTCTTCTTCTTCTTCTTCTTCTTCTTCTTCTTTATCTTCTTCTTCTTCTTCTTCTTCTTCTTCTTCTTCTTCTTCTTCTTCTTTATCTTCTTCTTCTTCTTCTTCTTCCTGTATGAGTGCAAATATACACTCCCTCGGGAGAGTATGAATGTTTATTATTATAACCTATTATTATACCCCATCTATATAACAGCGTATACGTATGTGATTGAATAAAATTAAACGCATGAAAGGAAAATGAAACACCGTGTTTCCCTTTCATTTTACCGGCCATATTTCCCTCGATGGGGACCCGTCTAGAAAAATAAAGAGGTATCAACCCTGAGGCTCGAATGACTGAATCTGATGTATTATTGTTCTATACCGATAAAATGAAATAGGTATTGCCCTTGTGATAGGGACACCTTGACACCCCTCGAACAGTAATGTGTCAATCGGGCTCAACTCTCGTGAAATATGGATTAATGTTGGAGAAACAAATAGACACGATTCCCTATAAGTGGAACCCTTATAATGAACCATGCTATTATTAGTATATAGTCAATGCAAACGTCGCAGTAATCAATCAAGTTCGATCTGATGCCAAATAAGGCATCGTAAGGAATGCAATAAGGAAGAAACGGGATGTGTAAATGTCTAATTAGCATACGAGTGTACTGTATATCATGGCTAATTATCAGTCTAAAAGTTGCCTGATGAATGCATATATGATTAATTTCACCGTTAAAGATATGACTATAAAATAAAACAATGACATGTACATATTTGTTATTAAAATAATCTTATGCATATTTTTCATTAAAACTTTATATACCTTACTCGTCCCAGTTACTGTCAGCCGTCACCGACAATGGAATAATACATTTGTATATATACAAGCTTGGCCTCTGGTGCCCTAGTAGCTAGGGAGTAACTCGATTTTCCCCGCCATCTTTTGAATGAACGGAATAAAAATGATACGCTTTCTATTTATAGAATTATTGCTGTGGGTATAGAGACCTTAGCAGACAGTAATGAACAAACAAAAAGCATGAAGATGTATGAGAATGCATCATCCATGCATTGAAACACATTATTTTCTTTTATGTTTGTATAGCGGAAATATATACAGGTTTTGCCATTAGGATATGGGACCTATAATCGTCCCACGATTCTGTCAAAAGAACTGCAGTTGGTGTTTCGCTCTCTGTTGGAGCTATTTGAGTCTAAGGCTGTGCGTTGTTATCAGGCTATGACAGAAAATGGCAATGCACCACTATACAGAACGTTTTCATTCAAGAACTTATAGACATATTTAAGACTTCTTCTAAACGTTTATTGTATAAACACGTTAACTTTTCGATGTACAATAGTATATGACAAAGCATTTATTTAGAAAAACATAAATGTGTACTTGCGAAGCACACACATAGGCAATTACAAGCTCATGTTAGAAACATGACGCTCAAACGAAACGCCTACAAACTGGGTATTATACTCTCTGTGCTGTGCTCTAGAGCGCTACCCTAGAATGTCGAAGATAGGTCAGAAGCAGACATGACTACTGGAGTAAATGTGACTGGCTGAGGTAGACATTCAACTAGGGTGCGATCACTGTCTTGTACATCCTCCATACCGCTAGGGGTTTCTCTCACTTTCGCTCTCTTCACCCATGGAATTATGGTAAAGTTGAAGGCATATGGCATGGCTAGCTATTGATTGGTCTCGGGTTAAACAAAAATCTGACCAATCGCTAGGCTAATACCTGTCCTTTGACGATTACAAAGGAGCGACACCCGACTTCAAAGCCAGTCAATTTTACCGTTACGCGTCCGACAGATTCTAAAGTCAAAGCAGTTTTCTCGTCTCATCCACAATGTGTTGCACACTGAACCTTCGATTTTGTCATGATATAGTCCAGAGGTGTACACAGCGAAAGTGAGCGTAGTCCCTTGAATATTGAGGATTTGTCTTGTATACTAACTGAGTCTACAGATAACACTTTGTTGTACATTTCCACAAAGTTATAATCAAAGACCAAACGCTACCAGTATGGTTCAACTACCCATCACTATTCAGGAATTCTTGGTACATTACGAATCATTATGTGCATCTATTGTGAGTAAATACAGCGCTTTACCCCTATGTCAGTTAAAACACACCATTCTTTGTGATCGTTGACGTGGTTTGAATGACAGGCTTTATACAATGTAAATGCTTTGAATTGACAAAAGGGTTTAATTAATAAAAATAGAGTCATGGATTTACTGAACACTTTAAAACTACGGAGCGAAAAACTGTTCAGACAATAGGGACAAGGAGGCGTATCTTTCCAGAACAATGTGGACACCGAGTTTCAGTTTTGGAATTGCGCTTTGGATATGAGTCATATCAATCATCAATAAGAAAGGAATTATTATGCATTTCAATCCTTTCTTTGCTAAATGAATACGTTCAGATTGTCTCTGTATAGGAAACGGAAAATGCATTCAATGTGTATACGCTAACATTTATTTGGTACGCGGTTATTATTTGAAAAGTTATTTTGTAAACTTTCGAAAACACGAAATTCCTTTGGTAAACAAAGACTTAGGTATGCAAACCACCGGTTTTGTCTATATGTAGCGGACTGCCGATGAACAAATGCAAATAGTTCAATAGAGCATACGTCGGTAGTCCGGGGGTTCCGGGGTCGAAACCCGTCTGACCCCGTTGTACATGTATGTTCATTCTCCTGTTATATTTGGCACCCAACTAAATATACATACGAAATATGGTAAAGGGTATCGTTTATATTCGGGATCGAAGTCTCTGTTGACGGTGGAATGGGTGTAGCGGCGGGAGCTGGACTGGGTTGATCTCCGGTGACCAGGTTGCCCCGTTGATTAGTGCGGCCGTGTAAGGGTTCGAAGATCCCGGGCTCGAATCCTGGTCGGGCCTTTGTATATTTCCTTCCTATTATATACATACAAATGAAAACTCTTTAAGTAACGTCATGACAGGTCAGTAAAACCAGGTGTTAAAATCGTGTCGAGACATATCACCTCATTTACACAGGTGTCTATTAAATTCACAACCCATATTGGCCACACACTTTTCTATTGGCATTAGATTTGTCCGGATGGTCTAAGCTATTGCCAATATACATTTAACTGATTTTGCTATAAAGAGCGTATCATGTAACTATAAAATCAGTTAAATGTGT